GTGCACCCATGAAGATCAAAATACAAGAGCTACCACTAATTTGTTTTTAAAGGCGACCGTCACTGACTCGAAAAAAGCATGCAGAAAAGTTGTCCCAAAAAAAACTAAACCCTAACTGATTAACAGTTAGCTTTCTGAAGCTTTGCATACCCTAAACAGTTAGTCTTTGTATATAAAAAAAACTTGCTTTTACCTTATTTTCATCATAGGGTACACTTACACAAGCAGTTTTAACCGAGCCCAGGCAGGGATCACCCCCTTGGTCCAATTCAATTGTGTGAGTGCTTCGAACCACTCAGGGAACAGTTAGGTGTAGAGGTAGTCCCGGGCAAAGTTCACTTGTGGTCTTGTAGGGTTCACTTCAGTGTGAGGGCAAACCATACCTGAGCACACAACCCTTTATAGATGACGGAGCATAGAAGCACGGTTCACTGTGGTCTGGTTGGCAGAGGTGATGACGTAAATGTGCCCAGTGTAAAGCCTAGTGCACACTATCAGTTTTTTTTTTTTTTTTTTTTTCTTTCAACATAGCGACAGAGTTCTGATCAGATGCCGATCGTCAGACCTTTTTCTGTCATGCCCCTTTGACAGAAGCCGACCGTATAGTAGGCTTCTGTCGGACCAGCTGCCATACCCAAGAGGACACATGTTGGCTGGTTTCTATTGAACTGGTCGATACTGCCCGAAACCCGGCCCGTGTGTATGGGGCTTTACTGTAGACCAGTGAGGGAGTGGGAACAAATGAAGGTTTCCTGAGGGTGCCAACCATGGACTATGCCTGCAGAACCAGTCCCACCCCACTGTGTGATCTTGCGCATGTGCAGTGGGGAGGATTCTGTGACTCCTCAGGAAGTCATAGTCACCAGTCATAACCAAAAAAGCAGTGCTGGAGACCCACGGCGGTAAAAAGAACCATCTGTGGGAAAACAGCGCTGGACCCCAAGCACTGGTAAGTACCTCATTTCAAAAAGTATTTGCATCTGCTGACTTTAAATTAAAAAAAATAGTGAAGTTCCTCCTTTCCCTCTCCTAGATTGTAAGCTCCAAGGAGCAGGGCCCTCCTTTCCCTCTTGTATTGAACTGTATTGTTGCTGTATTGTCTCCCGTTATATTGTAAAGCGCTGAGCAAACTGTTGGCGCTATATAAATCCTGTATTATAATAATAATAATAATGTTAAAGCTTCCATGAGATTTACTGACTGGGTCTACATACACTTTCAGATGACACTGGTTGTAAGCTTGTTCCAGGTTAGTGACTCAAAAGGTATTCGTAGAAGGAGATCGATGACAGCCCCACATACTGCACTGTGGACTGCCTGTTCATAGTATAAGGGTTAATTTTTTTTAAAACGCTTACACGCCTCACACACACAGGAAGTTTGAAAAATGCTCCTCCTCTTGGTAGCAGCATTTTGGCATAAAAAAAAAAAAAACGCCTGCCGCTTGTCAAAGTGTCTAACACTTTAACAAGCGTTTAGGGCGCGTTTACAAATGTCAAGCATTTGGGTGTATTTACAAGTGTCAAGCGTCTGGGCGTTAAGTCATTTCATTAGCCAGAAAAAATAATATATTCTGGCCACTGAAATGAATTAACGCTCAAGCACTAAACGCGCCTAGCGTTAGCACGCATTTAGCCGTGTTTACATGCATTTAAGTGTTTTTTTTCTGCCCAAACACTAGTGCTCCTGTATGCACCGACCCTGGCTGTGTTTTCCTGCTATTAAAAGCTACTAAAAGTCTATGTGCAAATGGACACATAGGATAATATGAAGAACCATTTGGAAGCAGTAAAAAAAAAAAAAAAAAAAAAAAAAAAAAAAAAATAGCCTAGTGCCCCTAAAAGTGACTTCAAAATCGCCCTGTGTGCATGAGACCTCAAGGCTTCGTTCACAACAGGGGGTAATCTTCCTAAACTATGCAATGTTGGCTTTAGAGGGTAGTACATATTGCCGTGGCCACAATTATTTGCTTCGCGCCTGGCAAATGTTAAACAGCATGTTGAGGACAGTACCACCACCAACTTCCAAACATGCAACTGAAGGAGTCAACATGTTTGGGTTGCAGTTGTGGGTCTGGTTTTCAACAGAAAATACCCATTCAGCTGAATGAAAAAAAAAAAAAAAAGAAGGATTCAGAAGGTGGCAGGATCTCCTCCAGAATGTCTTACAGCCCTCTTAGGCTAGGTTCACATATGTGCGGGTGGTGCCGCTGCGGATCCATACGAAATCCATGCAGCCGCACCAGCCACACAGCGAAATGCGGACCCGTGGGCAGGTGCCATTAGTTCTAATGGCACGCCGCACGCACTGGAAAACACAACCGTACTGAGAAACGCAATTCCCGTGCGGGCTACCTTTTCAGAAGTGCAGGGACTTCTCTGTATATCATGGGACATGGGAGTCCATTCAAATGAATGGGCTCTTGTGCCCGTGCAAACCGCGGCCTGCATATATGTGAACCGGGGCTTAAAAATGATATACCATTGATGACCTTTCAGAGGGGAGGTAGAGATTGCAGTCACGTGAACAAGGCCTAAAGTGGTTGAAATGTTAATTATTATTGTACAGGATTTATATAGCGCCAACAGTTCGCGCAGTGCTTTACAAAATGAAGGTAGACATTAGTTACAATACATTTTGGTACAAGAGGAAACAGAGGGTTCTGCTCGTTAGAGCTTACAATCTAGGACGACGGGTTGAGTATACAAAAAGGTAATAAGTACAGTATAAAGAACAAATAAAGTGCAGCGCTCAATGTATAGATGAAATAGAAAGAAATCTTGTGAAATAAGTTATTCAATAGAGTCCAGTAGTTTGTACTGATCAAAGTTCTTATGAAGTAGTTATCCCAACGGCAATGAGACTAGAATAACAAAAGTGCGCACTCACCAGAAGCACATTGATAATGCGCATGTAGGAATATTAATCCTGGATGGTGTTCTGTAGTCAACAGGTGGTGGGCATCCTTCTGAGGTCTGGTCATTCAGCCTGGATTAGGTATGGGTTAATCCTAGGTCCAGAGGTCCCCTTTAAGGGTGGATGGGCGCTCAATCTGCATACAGGGCTCCCTCCTCTGGATACTGGATGGTATCAGATTTTGTCTCAGCCTGAAGCCCAGCTCCCTACACACAACGTGCGCTGTCCGGCACAGCCTGCTGACGTCACCACTCCAGGGGACCTCTGGACCTAGGATTATCCCATACCTAATCCAGGCTGAATGACCAGACCCCAGAAGGATGCCCACCACCTGTTGACTACAGAACACCATCCAGGATTAATATTCCTACATGCGCATTATCCATGCGCTTCTGGTGAGTGTGCACTTCTGTTATCCTAGTCTCAGTTCCGGTGTGATAACTACTTCATAAGAACTTTGATCAGAACAAACTACTGGACTCTATTGAATAACTTATTTCACAAGATTTCTTTCTATTTCATCTATACATTGAGCGCTGCACTTTATTTGTTCTTTGTTATTACAGAGGTTACCGTAAGTGTTTCAGCTACTGCCTACTAAAGAGCGCTCACTATATCTTGCATTACTTGTCAATAATTACAGTATAATACATATTTATATTCACTGATGCTCTCATTATCGGACGTTAGTACCGCTCTCAAAACCAAATCAATAAGAAAAAAATAAGTACGGAGTACAAAAAAAAGAAAGAAAAGTCAGAGACCATCAAACTTTAATTTTATTAAACCATTAAAATATCTTACAGCAAAGAGACTTGTACAGTAAAGTGTTTCTGTTCTCGTCAGGTTGAGCCCTAGCTGAAGCTCCCGTTAAAACCGATAAATATATATAATTTTTTTTTTTGTGTGTTCCTTTAGAAACGACTCCATAGATCTCACGCTGGCCTTTGATAGTGTAGACCAAAGCACAGCTACAAATCACCTTACAATCTGTAACTTCAGACAAGTCAGATAGAGCTCCATTTCATTTGAAGTGCAGGGACTGCAATCCAGTTAATGGATGTCCAATAACACAGGGAAGCTCCTCAGCGAGATTTACAGTGAGGGTCGGCTCTTGAATCGTGGCTTATTGCTTGTGTGTTAAAAGGCCTAAGACAAAAATCATCCACTTCACTTAATGCAAGCCTTTCAACACAGCATGCTTCCTGCTCCCTCTAGACAAGACTGAAAAACATAATCAAAGCTTTCCATAAGCACAGAAGATGGGAATACACATTCAGCTGTCACAATAGGTATGGTGTGTGAGCAGAAGTTAAAGCGGACCGGAAGTGAATATCTGCCATCTTATGAAGGACATATAGAAAGGTTAAAGTGAAAGTAAAGGTTTATATTTTATTTTTTAAAAATGACAAAAATGTCATAATTACCTGCTCTGTGTAATGGTTTGGCAGAGAGCAGCCCTGCCTCCTCTTCTCAGGTCCCAAGCCAGCGCTCTTGGCTTCTTCCCCTACCCCGACGAGTGCCCCCATAGCAAGCCGCTTGCTGTGGGGGCACTCATGGAGGCTCGCTTCTGAGCCGGTTCTGTGTGTCCATAAGACACACAAAGCAGGGCTAAACCATGGCCCCCCTGCTCCCTCCTCACTGGCTGTGATTGACAGCAGCAGGAGCCAATTGCTCCTGCTGCTGTGTCTGAGCCAACAAGCAGGCAGAGAGCCGAGAGAGTCTCTGCTCTCGTGTACATCGCTGGATCGAGATCAGGCTCAGTAAAGTGTAAGGTAGGTAGGGCTGGCAGGAAAAACTGCATGCAGGTTTTTTACCTTAAAGTATTACTAAACCCACACCAGTACAATCAGTCTGTATATGCAGTAAAGCATGCTTTTTATACTCACTGTGACACCTAAGGGGTTAACCCTCTGCACTGTGTAAAAATGCTGTTTGATCCGGACTTTTTTGATCCTCCCTTTCTTCTACTGTTCCCAATCCATCTGCTGATAGTACAAAGCCCCAGAGAGGTTATTGTTTTTCTCTTAGGAGAGTGCATGAGATCAGCACAGGGCCAATCAGTACTGTCCAGACAGAAGTCAAGGATCCTGCATCCTCCTAGAGCAGAATGAAAACTCCTCCTACAAGCTTTAACCAGTGCTTTGCTGCACACTGATGGAAGGTGATTGCTCTAACTGCTGATAAGAAAAAAAGGTAAGGGTATTTTGCCATTTATATTTACTAAAATAATTGCACTTCCATGTTCTGTCCACTGTGGGAGACCAAATACACTGCTCAAAAAAATTAAAGGAAGACTTTTTATCAGAGTATAGCATTACGTCAATTAAACTCCTGGGATATTGATCTGGTCAGTTAAGTAGTAGAGGGGGTTGTTAATCAGTTTCAGCTGCTTTGGTGTTAAAGAAATTAACAACAGGTGCACTAGATGGGCAACAATGAGAATGGTTTTACAGGTGAAGGCCACTGACATTTTTTTACCTACTCATCTTTTCTGACTGTTTTTCACAAGTTTTGCATTTGGCTAGGGTCAGTGTCACTACTGGTAGCATGAGGAGATACCTGGACCCTACAGAGGTTGCACAGGCAGTCCAGCTCCTCCATGATGGCACATCAATACGTGCCATTGCCAGAAGGTTTGCTGTGTTTCTCTGCACAGTCTCAAGAACATGAAGGAGATTCCTTCATTCTTGAGACTGTGCAGTTACTCTAGGAGAGCTGAACAGGGTCGTAAAAGGTCCTTAATCCATCAGCAGGAACAATATCTGCTCCTTTGTGCAAACAGGAACATGATGAGCACTGCCAGAGCCCTACAAAATGACCTCCAGCAGGACACTGGTGTGAATGTTTCTGACCAAACAACCAGAAACCAACTTCATGAGGGTGACCTGAGGCCCAACATCCTCTAGTGGGCCCTGTGCTCACTGCCCAGCACCATAGAGCTCGATTGAAATTTGCCATTGAACACCAGAACTGGAAGTTCCGCCACTGGTGGTGCCCTGTGCAAACGAACATCCCATAGTGTAATAATGTTACAACTTCAATGGTGGGGACAAACTGTTAAAATACAACTCACAAAAAAGAAGTGCCCATAACCTGGCACTTGGTGTATTCAGCCTTGTTGCTTGTAAAGGGAAGAAAATGGCTGCCACTCTGGTAGTTAAGCCTCTAGACAGCGTGCGTTCCAAAGGGCAGAAGTGACGTTGGTTGAAGTTGCGTCATCAAACCTCGACGCATTTCAATCAACAAGGCTGAATACACCAAGTGCCAGGTTATGGGCACTTCTTTTGTGAGTTGTATTTTAACAGTTTGTCCCCACCATTAAAGTTGTAACATTTTTACACTACGGGATGTCCATTTTTGTTTCTATTTTTATGCTGAATACTTGCATTTATTGCCTGTGGAGGAGAGGAAGATTTTTGGTATTGACATAGCCCGTGAAGGGACACTGATTACCATTAGCAATGCTGCATACTGGGATAGTCCCAAAAGCGCAAACAACCATCCTAGAGATAGGTAGTCATGGGATGACGGTGAGTGCAAGTCCATGTGGGGCACCAGTCTGGGCACAGTGGAGCACCTGTCACAATCAAGAATTGAGCACTTTGCACTTTATTTTCACACACTGGGACTGCATTATTAATACCAGTTTTACAAATGTTTGATTTTCACTAGTTATTTATTTAGTGTCACCAAGGTTTCATTAAAAGCAAGGTATATGCACGGTCCATATGGTACCTATTTATGATTTTGTGTATATGAGTTTCACAATTAGGACTGCTGCACATTAAGGCTATTTTGATAGTATTGATTTATTCCTAAGCACAGCAGCAATTTTCCATTTCTCATGTAAATTACCTGGTTTACGTGAAACCTATAGCGTCTACAAATGGAATTTTTTTTTATACTAATAATGGCTAGGATCAAAGACTTATAGCAGGACTGCAGGACTCCAGAGGGCATTTTTGACACTGGGTGAGAACTGACTAACTGCCAGTGACACTAATACAGTTATCAGTGCCAATAAAAAGCACAGAACCTGCACTAATTACACTGGCCAGGAAGGAAATAGCATATGGGGCAATCAAAGGGTTAACTGTGTGCGGTGTTATATCATGTGCTGTATGTTTTACTAGGGAAACATGCTGCTGTGTATTTTTCTGCTGTGCAAGTGGTTAAAGTTGCACTTCTGTTCATCAAAAAGCAATATTTTTGTTTGTTTATTATCTTGGACATTTAAGTTGACTAAAATACGACTAAAACTAAAGCAATTCAGATGACTAAAATACAGCTAAAACTAAAATGGCATTTTAGCCAAAAGACTATGACTAAACTAAATAGAAATTTGATGTAAAAATTAACAGTGCTCTCAAACCACCTGTGTGTGTCCATAGGACACACAGAATGCAGCTTGGCCCGGCCCTCGGCTCCCTCTTCATTAGCTGTGACTTAACAGCAGAAGGAGCCAATGGTCAGATCTGAATTTTGTTTCTCCATTTTTTGTGTCATACAAGTACAAGAAAAAGAATTAAGCATGAGAATGCCTAAACATTTGTAACTGCAACAATTTTCTGAGCAAAGGGGTGCATTATTGGACAGAAATGCGAGGGTGTCAATATTTTTGGTCATAACTGTACATCAGCAGTCACTATGGGGTGCCTGCACGTAGCTCTGGGGTGGATGCGGATGCATATGGAGCAGACAGTGGTTCTGCATGGAAGATGGGCCTCAGCACCCGTTTAAATGAGCCCATAGCTGCTCACTGTTCTCCTTGCTGGAGAACAACATATAATGGAGGACATGCAGTGCAAGGATCTCCCGGATTCTGTTTCATTCATTTTGTGAATCTGTGCTTTCTGCATCATTACCTTACCAGTCAGCAGATCACCAATCGTAAGGGGTTGGCAGCTCTGACATGACGAAGAGATGCCCATTTTCTCTACTAGACACGTTGCCTCCACATAAGGACACAGTGCAGAAGGGAATAGTTTTTCACTGACTTGATATAAATAATGCAGATCTGGAACTGGCTTCACTCTGAGTTTCCCGGCCTGGAAACTTATCACAGGTCAGTGATTTAGAAAGCAATGGTAGCAGAAACAGCCAGGGCATTGTCAAGAGGTGGCCAGCCTCCACTTGTCTCCGAGTACAGGTTGCTTTAAAAGAAATCTGTGGTAGATGAAACATGGGTAACCTCATTCTAAAAATACTAGCCTGGCAGTCTTTGGCATTAATGCTCCCCTAGAACAAGCAAAGTTACAGTGAAGTTGTGACTCCAGATATGCATACTTCAATATGGCAGCCAGGCAATTGATATTTTTGGGGGAGAGGTCAAGAAAGGCAGCCTTCATATTGTTTCAGCAAAGGTTTCCTTTAAACTAGGTTCAAGACTACTGTAAGTCCAAGTCTTAGTTCATCAAATACTTGAAATTTGATGGTGGAGCAACTGCCACTCTAAGCTTGTACAAGTTAACATTCATCACTGAAAAATTCATATAGTACACATGTTGCAAAGTTGTTCACTTTAAGTCCCTGGATTCAACCTGCAGCCCTTTGGCAATTATTGTGCAGTTCTTGGGATCCCTGCAGTCTCTAATATACACTATATTGCCAAAAGTATTGGGACACCCTTCAAATCATTGGATTCAGGTGTTTTAATAACCTCCATGGCCACAGGTGTATAAAATCAAGCACCTAGGCATGCAGACTGCTTCTACAAAGATTTGTTAAAGAATGGGTCACTCTCAGGAGCTCAGTGAATTCAAGCCATGGTACCGTGATAGGTGGCCACCTGTGCAGTAAGTCCATCCGTGACATTTCCTTGCTACTAAATATTCCACGGTCAACTGTTAGTGGTATTATAACAAAGTGGAAGCAACTGGGAACAGCAACTCAGCCAAAAAGTGGTAGGCCACATAAAATGACAGAGCATGCTGAAGCACACAGTGTGCAGAAGTCGCCAACTGTCTGCAAAGTCAATAGCTAAATACCTTTGGTGGTTGCCAGGAGAATGGTACTTACCTGACTGCATTGTGCCAAGTGTAAAGTTTGGTGGAGGGGGGAATATGGTATGAGGTTGTTTTTAAGGGGTTGGGCTTGGCCCCTTAGTTCCAGTGAAGGGAATTCTTAAGGCGTCAGCATACCAAGACATTTTGGACAATTTTATGCTCCCAACTTTGTGGGAACATTTTGGCGAGGGCCCCTTCCTGTTCCAACATGACTGCGCACCAGTGCACAAAGCAAGGTCCATAAAAACATGGATGAGCGAGTTTGGGGTGGAGGAACTTGACTGGCCTGCAGAGTCCTGACCTCAACTCGATAGAACACCTTTGGGATGAATTAGAGCAGAGACTGTGAGCCAGGCCTTATCATCTGACATAAGTGCCTGACCTCACAAATGCACTTCTGGAAGAATGGTCAAACCTTCCCATAGACACCCTCCTAAACCTTGTGGACAGCCTTCCCAGAAGAGTTGAAGCTGTTATAGCTGCAAAGGGCGAGCCAACTCAATATTGAACCCTACGGACTAATACTGGGATGCCAATAAAGTTCGTGTGCGTGTAAAGGCAGGAATCCCAGTACTTTTGGAAACATAGTGTACATTTTGATACTTAGTCAACCAGTGAAGGGGGAATTTTAGACTGGCTTCTAGTGGGTAAAAATTTAGTGTTTCCCTTTAACAGTATCTTTATTTTGTGCTGTCTATTTCAGGTACTTCTATAGCGCTGTCAATTTATGCAGCACTTTACATACATATTGTACAGTCAAATCAGTACCTAACCCTCATGGGGCATACAATCTAAGGTAGTCCATCTCTTTTTCCTTTTTTTGATTTTTTTCTTTTTCTGACCTTTTATACCTAATCTTGCTGAAAGAAATGAATTGAATGTAGAACAAGTCATTTTTTTTAAGGGGGCTGTAGGAAGCACAGATTTAAAAAAAGGCTGTGATAGTAGTGATCTTTAAAGCTGGCCATACATGGATTAAAATTCAGCAAGTTCAGCAGAGATCAGCTGAATCTTCATCCATGTACGGGCAGGGTGGTTGGATCAACTTCTGTACAACCGCCCTGTCGAATTTTTGCTGCTCGATCCACATTGCAGGCTATAGCCGGCAGCGCTGATCAGTGTATTCTGAAGGTGGAGAAGTCTCCCCGCTGTCAGAAAACAATAGCTCAGCTGAGAGGATTTCCCCACCCACCTCAAGTGTGTGGATGGGGGAATCAAGTCAGTTTTTTTCATTCAACCCTTTGTTTAACAAAAGTTACACTTAC